AAAGAGTTTTTTTTTTTTTTTTTTTTTTTTTTTAAGTATTCCTGTGTACCTCATGGGCGCCTGGGACCCATGGAGACCAGAAGAGGCTATCAAATCCCTTGGGATTAGAGTTATAGTTGTGAGCTGTGGATTCTGGGAGTTGAACCCAGATTCTCTGCAAAAGCAGCCAGTACTCTTAAGCATGACTCTTTCTGTATTGCAATTTCTGCATCTGCTAGGATGGATACCCATAAACATTCGAAGAGAGGAAAACAATCACTTCAGCTACTTTAGGCTACACTGATACCAAATTTAATTTCACCTAGACTGATACCAAACTTAAGTTTAAACCATTTAATTCAGGCTAGATGTAAATAGATTGCTGGTGAGAGTGTACGATTAGTGTATGAACTCCATTGTTTGTAATAACTGGCTCATTTTATCTAAAAATATTCCTTTCTGTGAGTTTGCTTAGAGATCATTATTATGAAGAAATTGTTGCCATATCTCATAAAATCCATAAAATTGACAACTCTTTTTGTAACCTTGATTTTTTTTCTTTTTTTTTTCAAGCTTGCAGATCAGTTTTGTAACGCCATTGGAGTATTACAGCAATGTGGTCCTCCTGCCTCTTTTAGTAACATTCAAACAGCAATTAATAAAGACCAACCCGCCAATCCCACAGAAGGTGAGGTCTCCTTAGTTTGACTAACATTCCTTCTACAATTTATAGCTCCTTTGTAAAACTGTGACTGTGGTTGAAGTGCATTGCTCTATGTTTTTCCATAAATGATTTTTTAGCATTTATTTACTTGGTGTGTATGTGGGCAGGCCTGCTATAGTATGCTTATAAGAGGTCATAGGTTCCAGACCTGTTCTCTCCTTTCACCATGTGGATTCTGGGGATCACACTGTGGTCCTTAGACTTGGTAGCAAGTACCCTTGATGTGGGAGGTCCTTCTGTATGCTATGAATAAGTGTTGCTTTTTTTGGTTGATGAATAAAGCTGTTTTGGCCAGTGACCAGGCAGAATATAACTAGGTGGGAAATCCAAACAAAGATGCAGAGAGAGGGGGCCGGAGAGATGGCTCAGAGGTTAGGAGTACTGGCTGCTCTTCCAGTGGTCCTGAGTTCAATTCCCAGCAATCACATGATGGCTCATAACCATTTGTAATGAGGCATGCCAGAACACTGTATACATAATAAGTAAATAAATCTTAAATGATACATAGATTAGTAAAAATGGGTTAATTTATATGTAAAAAGCCTGGCATTGGTAGCACACGCCTTTAATCCTAGCACTGGGGAGGCAGAGGCAGGTACATCTCTATGAGTTCAAAGCCAACCTGGTCTACAGAGCCAGTTCCAGGATAGCCTTCAAAGCAATACAGAGAAACCCAGTCTCAAGAAAGAAAGAAAGAAAAGGAAGGAAGGAAGGAAGGAAAAGAAAGGAAAGAAAGGCCAGTAAGAAGTCTGAGTTATCAGCCAAACAATTATAAACTGGCGGGTGAGACAGAAAACATGCAACTACATGCCCTTATCTGCAAAGCTATCTCATTGGTCAAGGAATGAGTTTATCAGCTCAATTCATGTGCCTCATGATTCTATTCACTTCAATAAAAGATTGTTACTCCCTTAGAGGAGAGCTTATGAAGACTGAATTTCTGTTTCACCTGGTCCCCCAGCCCTTTAGTCCCAAATAAACACATTGAGGCTTATATTAATTATAAACTGTATAGATTGAACTGAGTTTTGCTTGTATGACCTTAGTAAAAAAAAGGATCTCATTTATGGGTTCATTTGCTCAAGGTACCAAAATGTTGTCCTAGTATATAAAATGACATTCTATGCTAATTCCCAGTTTGAATTAATGTTAAGGGTATAAATAGTACTGATATACTAAAATTATACTTTCACCATTAGGATTATATTAGAAAGCTGAACTTTTCTAGTTTTATTAATTTATAATTTGTGCTTGTGAAAATGTAAGGTTTTGCTAATTTAACTTAATGTTTTTTTTTTTTTTTCAGAGTATGCCCAGCTTTTTGCAGCACTGATTGCACGAACAGCGAAAGATATTGATGTTTTGATAGATTCCTTACCCAGCGAAGAGTCGACAGCTGCTTTACAGGTGAAAACTCCTTTCTTTTCATAAAAGTAGTAGTGATAGAGAACTTTGAATTAAAGGAGGTATGGCATTCAAATTAGGACTAAAGTTTAATTGGAAGGTATTTTGGGTTTTGTTTGATTGTGGTTGGTTTTTTGCTTGTTTTGTGGTCAAATCTAGGGTCTCACATAGCAGGCAAACACTCTATAATTGTGAACTAACACAGCCTCTGAAGATTGTGCTGAATAGTTGTCCAGTTTTGACCTAAAAGATCAGATCATGTGTATTCGAGGCAGTATTGACACTGAGCAATTTAATCTTAGGCAGAAGTCTCCTAATGCCCTTACTGAAAGTGGAGCAAAGTAACGTCTACAAGCAATGTACAAGCAAACACCTATATATTCTGATTGAAAATTAGTCTTCAGGGCTGGAGAGATGGCTCAGAGGTTAAGAGCACTGACTGTTCTTCCAGAGGTCCTGAGTTCAATTCCTAGCAACCACATGGTGTTTCTCACAATCTGTAATGAGATCTGGTGCCCTCTTCTGACCTGCAGGGATACATGCAGGCAGAACACTGTATACATAATGAATACATGCATCTTTTTAAAAAAAAAGAAAGAAAGAAAATTAGTCTTAATAATAAGTCATAGAGAAAAATTAAATAGGTATTTAGAATTATCTGTTACTAAAGATAAAAAAATGATTGGAAAACCATTCTGATTTTAAAATAAATACTTGTACTTTAGTTTCTCTGCATTTCATCTCTGAGCATATTAAAATTCATGTCTTATGAAGGCTGCTAGCTTATATAAGCTAGAAGAAGAAAATCATGAAGCTGCTACATGTCTGGAGGATGTTGTTTATCGGGGAGACATGCTTCTGGAAAAGATCCAAAGTGCGCTTGCCGACATTGCACAGTCACAACTGAAGACCAGAAGTGTCACCCGTAGCCAGTCGCTTCCAGATTCCTAGCAACAACAGAAACAGGTGACTGAGAAAATAACTGTTTGAAGGGCACTAAGAGTACCGCCTCAGATATGGGCTTAAGTCCCTCCAACAGCTGGGGGGCATCATACGCTGTGACTGTTTCCTTTTTTACTAGTTTTCACTCTCGATATTAAAAAGCTTTAAGATTGCGATTGCAATTGAGTCATCCTCAAACATCATGTCATTTTTTTATCTATCTGACTAGAATTTTCAAGGTAGATACTGTACTAATGTTCATGCTATAATTAAAAAGCTATACAATACAGCTCTCTGATGTTTTGCATGTGTTGTTTTTCTTGTTTTGTGCAGTACAGAATGGAATCCAGGCCTTGTGTATGCTAGGTAAGCACTTTGTCACTAGGCCATATTCCCCGGTTCTGACAGACATTGTATGATTGCAGCCCATCCACAGGTCAGCATAGCCTTAAAGGCCATGATATGGGACATTTCAATTTAGATAGTGTCCCCCTCCTTAAAGATGGCACCATGTAAGTTTATATCTTTGAGCAAAAGTTTCTGAAAGTCTTTTTAAGAAACTATTAGAGCAGATAGGAAATAGACAGTCACCTGAAAGCTTTCTTCTTCAGAGTGTCACACATTCTAGTGTAACACAATTAATAAAAACCCAGAGACTGATATTGGGGTTCAAGCTGAAGATCAGAGAAAGTAGCCGGCCACTAGCTCTCACCTCTACCTCAGGTGAAAGGGCTGATCCTCGAGCTCCCCACCAAGCCTCAGACTGCCGCCTCTCCTCACTGAGGATAGAGAATAAATCTCCAGATGAGGCCCTTTGCTTTTTCCTTTTGTACCTCCTCAGTGCTGGGATTTAAGGTATGTGATCCCAAGTGGTGAGATCACCTTTGTGTGAGCTGTACCTCTTTAGGACTGGGTCAAATTCATGTATCTCAGTGTGGCCTTGAGCAAACAGAGATCCATCTGCCTGTCTCCTGAGTCCTGGGATTAAAGGGCGTGCCACCCCTTTCTGGTTCTATGGCTTGTGGCTGACTTTGCTTTCTGTCTCCTCAGGCAAGCTTCAATAAATCATAAATAATATATCACCAAATTATAGTTTGTCTCTGCCTTTGTCTTCACAAGTCTTTACTGCCCACAGTTCTCTTGTGAGAGTTTTTCATCCCAAATCATGTTCAAATAATTTTAATTTCCCTGTATTCTTAATTTCCATGTCTTCATAGTGAGGTGCATTTCTTGAATTGTTTATTCTTTCTCATTCTCTTTACCTGAAGGAACTTCTGCTTTTTTTTCTTTAATTTTATTATGCTGATACATTTTACATGCTCTGCCTGAATTTCTACATGTGTTGGGTGCCCTCAGAAGTCAGAAAAGGATGCCAGATCCCCTGGAAACAGAGTTGCAAGTATTTGCACCATAAACTTGGTATTGGAAATAGAAACCTAGTTCTCTGTAAGAACAAGTGTGCTTTTTTTTTTAATTTATGTATTTTTTTAGGTATCAGTGCTCTGTCTGCACGTATGCCTGCATGCCAATAGAGGGCGTCGGATCCCACCTTAGATGGTTGTGAGCCTCCATGTGGTTGCTGGGAATTGACCTCAAGTCCTCTGAGCCATCTCTTTAGATCTTACTAACATGTAATCTTTATTGTTGTTTTTCAATTAGTATACTTCCACCATATCAGTAACTCAGTGGTGTTTTCTCTGTTACTTGGATTTGTTATGGCTAACATTTGTGTCAGCATTTGCAATTGGTATTACTCATCCAACTCTTGATTCTCACTGTTGTCCAAGTCTTAAATTTCTAAAGAACCCTCTAGAAAAATATCCAGAGTGTTTCCTTCCCACCAAGCTCTCCTGTGTTTCAAAGTTCAGGAGCACCAGCTCTAGCTACAAAAGTTACAATAGTTTATTGGTTAAGCCTAGACATTTTTGAACTTTTTTGTTGTTGTGACAGTTATTTATTATCAGATCTTAAAAAACCTGTCACCTCCCCGCCAAGAAAACCAACGACCTAAATGTTCTGCTCTTTCAGAGGGGCAGTCAGTCTTTCCATCTGTGCTGGTCGTCTGGGGTCGGCTCTTTTCAGAGACCACTCCTTACCCGAGGAGGCAATGCATCCCACTGTCCATGTCCCCTTCAGATCTTGCTTCTGTTGCTTGTAATCGTGACTGGCTTCTTACACTGCTCCTGCTGTGTTCTTAGTAACTGGAACAGAACTTGACGTCAACAGCAGGCGAATGCCTGTTTCTGTGATCAAATCATAAAAGGAAGTAAAAGATTAGCCAGTGTATTCTAACTAGTATGTTTTGTTGACAGGGCATAGCTAATCTTACTGAAAGCAGGGAAAAGAGTGCTGGATTCATTCAAGGCCCTAAGTATTGTATAACAAATGGTGTACCCCTTATCACTTTTTAGCATAAATGAAAACCATAAAGGAGGTATCAGCAGATCAAACCATGAGTTCTATTAAATAGGGGCTGGAGATATGGCTCAGTGGTTAATAGCCCTTGGTGATAAATCATTGAGAACGGAAGTTTGGATTCAAGCACCCATGTAGCAGGCTGGGCACCGTAGCAGGCTGAGCACCGTAAACATCTTAACTCTAGAGGGTTGGATGCCCTCCTCTGGCCTACAAATCACACATGTGCATACACTCATAGACAGGAATAAAATTAAAATAATTTTCTTTCAGTTATGTAATGATAACTCTGCCAGCCTCCTGAGTTCCCCCACCATGATAGGGCCCCCAAATAACACACAGAGATTAATATTAGTTACAATGCTGCTGGCCAAAGACTAGGATTTATTTGCTAGCTCAGTCTTAAGTATCAGCCATAACCATTAATCTATATATTTTATAAATACTTATCAAGGACACCAGCGGTATGTGTCCTCTCTTCCCCGGGGATCACATGGAGACTCTCCTCTTTATTATGTTTCCCAGAATCCTCCTCCTCTCATAGTCCACCTATCTTGCTTCCCTCTTGGCCAACAGTGTTTTATTCATTAACCAATAAGACAAACATACACACAGAAGGACTTCCCCCATTATCTCTTTTCTGTCTAAATAAAAAGAAGGGTTTTAACATTAACATAGTAAAATATATAACAAAACAGTTATCAAGTAAGAACTATAGTTATAATATTTAATTCATTAACATTTAGGAAGATTTTAAAATCTATCTTTGTGAGTCTAAAGTAGCTTATCTTATAATAACTAAAGAAAACTATAACCATAACTATCTGTCTTCAACTCCATCAAAGACCATGGAAGGATAATATAAAAACTCTAGAACTGACAGAGACATCTCGCTGCCTGGACAGTCCCCCAATGTTCCTCTGTAACATTGGGCATCCATATTCAGCCCATAAGCCACAGTGTGTCTTGGTGACTTCTCAGTGAAGCAGGAAATTTCAAACTCTCATCTGTATTGGCAGTTTATCAGTCATTTTTCTCTGTGTCCTGTAGATTATCTGGCAGACTCTTCCATGAAGCAGAAACATTTTAGGACTGTCCATCTTGTTTTGTATGTTCAGAAATCACTTTCCTGTGGGTCCTGCATGTCCAGTTTATCAAACACTCCAGGCAAGAGCAGTTTCTTGCCCAAATGACTAATCTTGCTGGTTGAAGGCAAACTCCATATTGAGTTTCTTCAATGCCCACCCTCCTTTCTGACGTATTTGGTGTGCCAGGAGCAATTGTGTCTCACTGTCATGAAAAACCCTAAACCATTTAAATGCCAAATATTCTGTAGGTCTTTGAAAGGTTTGAAGAATATCCATCTCAAATACATCTCTGTATATCTAGAAAACCTACTAACCTAATTATAAGTTCTGACTATTATAAGTAATTGTAAATCTGTATTTAATTATGCATTACATTTTAAAAGATCAGTATAAACACAATACCTAACTAAACGAGATTTCAAATACATATCACAAAATTGACCTCAAATTTGTTATCAATAAATGAAAATCCATTCCAATACAAAGTATTCATTTCTATATCCTATTCCCCTTTTTTTCCTTTAAAGAGATTGACTGTAATCATTACCATTTATATAACCCCATTTAAGTGATGATGGGGGGATGGGGAATGTCCTTCTGTGTATGTTTATCTTATTGGTTGTTGAGTAAAGTACTGTTGGCCAATGAAGAAGCAAGTTAGGCAGGACTAGGAATCAAGGAGGATTCTGGGAAATGTAGTAAAGAAGTGTTGTGATCCAGACAGGAAGTGACATAGCAGGGAGACTCAGAATATAAGCAGGGACAAAGAGGAAATCGTCCTCTTCCTCTTCCTTCTGCTCTCTTCTCTACAGAGTCTCCATGTGATCCCGGGGAGGGGACACCAGCGGAAGATGTCCTCGATAAGATAAGTCTTATAAAATACATAGATTTATGATAATTAAGACTGAGCTAGCATATAAGAAATCCTAGTCATTGGCCAGCAGCATTGTAAATAATATAAGACTCTGTATGTTATTCTGGGTGCCCACATGGCAGAGGAGCTTGGGCAGATGGAGTAAAGACTTATTGTTACAAATATTTATAAGCAATATTTGGGAATTTGGGCATTGTTCATTCCAAACTGCTTCCTGCTGGTTGGGGGCGATGTCCATACCATGGGGATCATGATAAAACACAGAAACCTGGCCAGGTCCTTGTTTTTGTAGTCTGTAAGGCTGTATCATCTCAGCTGATTTAGATGTTGGATCACCTGGGACACTGTTTGAGGGGTCTTCATGAAACCATATTAGTCTGGAAGGAATCCATAGCTTTACATTTTCTGTGGAAACATAAGCAGAAACTCTTTTCCCAAGTAACCTGTCCTTATTTTTAAATTTAAAAGTCACAGCATTTTTAAAATATGTAAGTTGGATTAATTTAGCAGCACCTATAATCACATGTATTTTAGCAGCTGTAGCTCTTTCCACGGCAATCAAACAATTTAAAGACAACAGTATAACATATAGTATCAGACTCTCTATTTTTCATTTTTACCTGGCTTTTTACTTTTTATTATTTTTTTTTTTTTTTTTTTTTTTTTTTTTTT